AACTTACCGCTTGAGCTGAGACAAAAAACACTCTATCTTCTGCCTGTCCTTTGTCTAGTACATACTTGAGCTCATCAACAAGGAAGCTGGTGCTTTCTCTGAGACGTTCTTCTTTCACCTTAAGGAAACAGTAAAAAAAATGTGAAAAATCACACCTTATTACCATCAGCTGATAGTGGGTGGGGGGGGGGGGGGAGGAGGGTTAAGGGGTTGTTGTCCAGGGGGAGGGGAGGAGGTGGGATTAATAGTTTGTTGTCCCAACCATCGTCATACCTTAATCCTTCTCCTCTATCTAGGCCCCCTTCCCTCCCCTCCCCCACTATGAATCTATCAGTACTTTTTTTTCCAGCAACAATTTCCAAAGAAGAGAGCATCTGAAATGAAAGGCAACTCCAATGTTGTGTTTTGTTTCCATTTTTGACACCTGATTTCAAATTTGAATGGCTATCAAGAACAAATAAGTGCTTACTCACCAGATTCATCTCATCGGGTTCAGATGCAGATGTGTCACATCTGTTATATAGAATGAAGATGTCTGATCCTAAAAGAAGCTTATTCACTTTGCGTAAAAAGTTTTTCACCTGCAAATGACAAGGGTACCAAATGAAAAACTACCCCACAAGCATGGGTTGGTTTTATGTATGAATGCTATCACACTGATTGGATAAATTTCTCCTGTAATAAGTCACATTTTAAAGCAACTGAAATTTTAAAAAAATTCAATCAAATTTAAAGTTTGTATGTGTTGTATCTGAAATTTACACATAGCACATGAATGGTCATGAACATACCGTAAACTGAAGCCCTGACACAGCATCAACAACCAGGACAAACACATCAGCATCCAAACAGTGCTGATCAATCCATAGATCAAGCTCAGGGCTCAAACCTATACCAGGACTAAAATAACAGTTGTCTGTGACTTAATTTTACATAGCATTTTTAGGCTTCTACTTGGTGTAGAAGACACAGGATATGTCACAATAAAGCAATGCATCATTAACCTATTTTTTTCATTGTTTTCTTATTCTTTCATCATTTTGTTTTTCTTAAACCTTCACACTCTAACATTAGTATGCATATTCTCTGTACTGATCCCTATACATTCCCTTAGGTGCAAAAAAAGACAATTTGCCAAACAGTACAGAGCTTCTATAGTTGGTGATCATTTCTTTTATTCTTTTGATCTTAATGTTTAATTCAGGGGTGAAGTTTTAAGGAGAAACTCAATTCTTAGGGTTCAAAAGGTCAATTATACAGTACATTTCATCACTTTTAATTTGCTTACCTATCCACAAAAACAACACCTTCTGACAACATTTTACATCTGAGGTTAAAAAAAAAAATTACATTTTTCACAAAAATGAAACCATCACAAGTGATAACAATGCACAGGCAAGTTTGAGAACACTTCATGGAGTAAGGGCTTGGAAATTAGGCAGACTTTGAACTCCACATGATAAACGCAATGTCTGTTGCAGATATTGGGTTATCATGTCAACTTCCTCTGCTTTAGTATACTGATTGAATACTTTGGACCAATCAGATCTTTCATAATTCTAACGTATAATAACAGAATTAATTTGAAGCCAAAAAGTTTTGACAAACTTAACCTCTTTGGAATAAACCTGGACAAGAACAATTTATGTACAACAAAGGGAACAACATTCTACTGTTACAACCCATGAATAAAGTTTGCAAGGCTGAACTGTATTTTATGCATTTTGATTGACAGGGACAACAGTTACCTGTGAGTACATGTGAATGATATAAAAATTACAAAACAAAATCAAACCTGGACTTTGGCAAGAACACTTAAGACTGCTAGGATCAAGCTCTTCTTTGGACAAGATATGGGTGAGTTGATCTACTGGCTGTCCCTATAACAAAAAGAAAAATAGGTAATTATCATGATTATTAACAATTCAACAACCCTTCGACACCCAAGATCTGATTATTAATTCTCTCCTTTAGTTGCTACAAATTTCATTGTAAATTGATATAAAATTTAGATTGGTTATGAGAATTTGGTGTTCAATCAAGATAATATCTTGTACCTGATAAGTTTGAGTATTCTCATTACCTGTTTGCTGGATAATGTATGGATATTATAGAGAGAAGTTACATGTTAATCCCTTCTAGCAGTTCAAGGGTAAACTTACATGGTGCATACATCAATTGGAGTATTATTTAATTTATTTCATAAGCACTTTTCTGCTTTAAGATAATTAAGGTACCTGTGATATTTTCTAAATTAAATTTCAAATTGAGATTAATTGCTAAAACCATATAAACACCAGAGAAATACTGCTAGTTTAGAATTAAACAGTAGAAGTGATTGATTGAGGTTTAGGTCTTTATCTGCTGTTAGGCTATAAAAATCAAAGACAATTTACTAACCATAAATCATATTTTATACATGAAATGTTTGTACGAAAAATATACATCCTTGTCAAGACTGGGTGACAGTCAACAAAAACAATGGAGGAACTTTGTGTGAGTTGACAATTTTCTTTTGTTTTTGGGTGTGGGTTATCTGCCACTGGGATTAATCAATTTCTTACAAAAATTGACTGATGTGGGTAATCTGCCGCTGGGGTAAATGGATGGAAATTATGGTACATATAATTATACAAAGGAGAAACTTATAATACTTTTTAAGAAGACATACCTTCATATTCTTTTTGTCATCACCCCCAGGAACCAAGATATGTGGATTTGTTGAATCTGAAACATTAACACTGACGAAACAGTTTGTAGTAGGGCCTATTCCCATTGGTAAGATCTCATCTTGTAACATGGCATTTATTGTAGTACTCTTTCCATAGCTGGTTCGTCCAATGAATGCTACCTTCATCTGATCCCTTGACAGTACCTTTAAAATGTTTGAGACCCAAGCCAGATATCCTGACACCTGTTTGAGAGAAATGCAATAATCAGCTCTGACTAAATAAGAATTAATTACATGAAAAAATTGACAGTGATAGTGCAGGTACCTAGAGTGTACATAGAGTGAGATGCACCATGAATAAATGCATGGTTGTACACAGAACTTAAGTCGCAGTGCCCATTGCCGAGATTGTAAAATTGGTGTCTTGACAATATGTCTTGTGTAAACTAGGAGAAATGATCAAGGAACAAAAAAAAGCTGGCATAAATCTACACAACGTACCTCTAACATACTGAATTACTGTATCAATGAATCAATCAAGGTAGCTTTCAAGTAATAGCAAAATAAATAACAAAAACACCTTAAAAAACAACCACAATCAAGGTTGTATAATCTACACCAGTTTAACTTTATTTAATTTACCAATTCTCATCAATATCATGGAGCTTGAACGCGACATCCAATCTTACCTCGCTTGAGAAATTCTTGATGACTTCATTTCCTATCCTTGATGTCGCTACCAAGTTGTTACAGGCTATAAGAAACTCTTCGAAGTCCGCAGATGTCGGGCGTATCTCATTCTTCTTCGCTTTTACGAAATTGTACACAGAGTAATTCATATTCACCAGTATTAGATTTCAGACTGCCTTGAGAGTTTGACCAGGACAGACAAGTTTCAGAAGTTGTTTACAATTTACAAAAAAATTCCGAAGACTCCGTTTCGTTTGTAAACGGAACATGACTTTTTAGTTCGTTCCAGTGAAAAAAGATATACATGACAAGGTAGTCCCATCTTTGAGGTTTAATTTACGCCCTTTCAGCAGAGGGGTATTTTGTTGCGCATGTCCGATAAATTTTACTTTGATACGAGAAACCGCTGGTATGCACCTGCACCGGTTTCCCTCTCGAGAATCACGAAAGAAAAGAAGTAGTAAAATACGTCGGAAAAAACAATGGTTCGAGTACTTGAGACAACCTTTCTTCTCATTTTTTCTTCTGTAACGTAGATGGAAGGGGCAAATCCTTGAAATTATTGTGTGATGTGTGGAAGGAAGTTATTTTCAGAATGCAAAAGATTGTTCGAGTCTTGTCTCGTGATTGTCTGGGCGATCGATGAAGATGATGTTATTTTTGAAGGATGCAAGTGGCCTGTCGAAGAGTACAAAAGAATTGGATAGTATACTTTTATCGTGTCATTGCTATCTCAAGTTATCAGTGATCATTTGAAGTACTCGCCTTTCTGTAAGCGTTTTTTAGAGCTTCAACTGTACTGCTAGTGCAGTGTACCTCCAATTTTGGCAAAAATGTAAAGTTAACAGAGGTTTATGTTTTGTTTCAAAAGTTTTTTTTTGACATGAATCACAACCGGCAGGGCCGATTACCAAAATAAAAAAGATCAATGTCAAGTAAAGAAAAGTAAGACAATGCTAATGCTAGAGATATGGTAGCTCCATCTGGTTAGAGATGGAGGAATAATTATGGATTTTATCAGAGTAAGATAAAGTCTGTTCAATCATTAGTCTTGGAAATATCATCAGATATGATCGATGATGTGGGGAAATTGTGAAAGAAAACAAGTACTACTTTGGGCTTCCAGTTGTAAGATGAATAGTTAAATAAATCAATTATTACCCAGTGAAAATCACTATCATTTCTCATTTCAACTGCACAAAAAAATCATATACACTCTTTGCAACCTTATTCTCCAACCTATTAAATTACAAGAGTTGTGTGACAATTTGATGGTCTGAAAAGACTCTTACACATGCCAAACAACAAAGAACCGGTAAGGCAAATATTTAACAGTGAGGATAAAAAAAAAAAAAAGGCCTTTTCTTTTCAGAAATAAGACTCAGTGAGGTCAGATTAAACTAATGTGAAGAGGTTTGTTGATCTCTTTATGAAAATGGATGCTTTACATCTATCAGATTTTAGAGAAATGAGACTTAAGTCAAAAGGGGATTTTGACATTGCATATTCTGCAGTAATGGGCGTCAGCTTGGATGCCTATTTGCAGAAATTAATAGCTTTCAAGCCAGGGGTTTGGCTGTGCTAATTTTAAGGCAGAAAATCATAAATCAGTCGCTTAAGAAATTTTATAGCTCTGACTGGAAGCTCAAACACTCTTAAGGAACAGGACAATATTTCACCTGATCACTCCTCATATTCTTTTCCCATGAAATTTGGACAAAACTTTCAAAAAACTTTATTGGTAATTTTATAGTTGCAAAAAAGGTATAGACACAAGTTGCATATAGCATAAGCTAGTTGAGGCAAGTTGTGTGGAGAGAACAAAAGATTGATAATTTATAGCAGTAGTAAGCTTCTGGTACTAATGACATTCTCTTGAATGCCAGCTTGCCACAGCAAATGTCACACCTATCCTTTCTGTCAATAGTACCGACCATATGTAGTGGGGTCACTTCACATCTCCCTAAACAGCAGAGAACACAATAGTTAATTCCAATCATCAGTCTCAATTAAGAAATAAAAATTAAAGGATCAAGACTTATCTGGCAAAGAGAAATACAAGTTAAACTGGTTTGAAGACATTTTGACCCGAAATTCGTTTTCAAATATGACAGAAATACTGTAGTTCACATTCTATGGAAACAAGGAGTTCCAGTCCCTTGAGTAATTATTCATTTGTTGTATCGCTCACCTCATATTTTAAGAAGCAGAGAAAGTTAGATAATTTTAATCTGCGAGTTTTATAGTACACTTCGACTCAAAATTCATTTCGTATGGCAGAAGTATTCTACTGAAATAAACAAGATAGAATGAAGCTGACGCCATCCGTTTCGAATAACACATGAACATGAAGAAAATGGCACCAGTTTAAACTCATGAGACAAAGCCCACGCATTTTTTTGAGGTAAATGAACTGGTTAGACCGAAAGCTAAATAAATAAACAATGAACTGACAGTGGTGAGGGATTTGGGGGCCATGTGATGAAACAAGTTCTACCGAAGTTTATCCTCTAGTTAGCCCTTCAAGCCCAAAAAGGCAATCAGAAAAATTCTCACCAAAACACAGCAACAAAATTAGATAAAACCGCAGATGATCGAGGCAAGACTACAAGACACATGCCTACGTACCAAGTACAACAGACTTGGAGAGCAAAATAGCCAAAGACAGTTGTGAGCCATGACTTGGAAAATCCACCTCAACCTCCCAAAAACGAATTCGCTGAAGGTTGTAGAAAGAGCAACTCAATCCTGAAGCTGGAACATTTTTTTAAGCCTTGTGTCCAATGGGACAACAAAGAGAAAGAAGAGAAGATGTTATTTGAAGTGATTTGAAGCTTGGGGGCCACCTCCAAGTTAACGTAATTTTATTTCAAAGTTGAAGTAAAATAAGATCAAATTGTAAACTACCTTCTATTATCGTAACGAATATCTCACGATCGCCTCCACACATCACTTCGTGATTCATAGAAGTAAGACATCAACATCTTAAGACTAACCTTCAAGGTTTGTAGTCTCATGTACACATCTTGATCGTCAGCAAATCAAATCTCAAACTTCAAGTTTTCGACCTTTTTTCGCGATTTGTTCGCACTTTGATCATTAAAATATCCTCATCCGAAGAGCCAGCAAACTCCACAAGTATCCAAAGAGTTAGAAATGGTGGTAAACTTATCATACTCTTCCATCCCTCTCCAAAAAATATCACAGAAAGGTGTCGATCGCTCAGTTGAAAACCCGCAAAAGCGCGCTGAAAGTATCAAAATGGCGCCGAACGTTCCTAACAAATTTTCTATCACCAGTTCCAAGCCTTTCACGGTCGTTTTCCCAGCCAGACCCCTCTCGTTTTTTTTGCGTACGCTTGTAGCGTTGCAGTTTCAACATGATCTCTTATCGTTATTTCTTAATTGGCCCTGAAATAACGAATAGCATAATTTCAGTGCATGTGTGAATGTTCACTACTACTAAATGTTCTTTAGTAGTAGACAAGCTGGCTGTTGTAATTATAGGCAGCAGAGGCCAAACCTCATCCTGAAAAGCAGTCTGAAAGGTGTGAAGTCAGTGGAAGACAGTGGTAGGTGGCCAAATTGCAGGCTGTCAGCCCATTTTGAGTGAGTAGTTAAACTCAAGATTGGCTATTTTAATTAATTTTATTGAGAGCCAAATCCTGCAAGGCTTATATTCTGTATTAATTTGAAGTGTTACTTTTATGTTTCTTATTTTGCAGTAAGTGGGCTTGTTGTGGCCACTTTTCTCTCAAACATTTTTTTTCAGCGTAGTCAAAATGTTTTTTAGAATTAGGCAAGCTGGCTATAGTAATAGAAGGTAGAGGCCAAACCTTATCCAGACTAGACGCCTAACAAATGTTCTGTGTGGACAGCCAAATCCCTGGTTACTGGCACATTTTGGCTAGGCTATTTGTTATTTAGCTACTAAGTAATCTTATTATTAAAGATAACTGCATTCCTTTTTAATAATTTGCTGCCAATTGTATGCTGTATATAGCTTATGATTTGTGTGATTTTCAAGAGTACTAGATAACGTACTTGATGCAAAGCAATTTTGGCACAAAGTGTATGCCTTGTCCTCAGGTGATTTTAACATGCTAATAAGATTTGTTATTCAAATAATATACATCAACTGGAATGGGAATATTGAAAGAAAAATAATAATATTTAACCATAACAAGTTTTGGTTTTATGTCCAAATTAAGCACTTAGTTGAAGATCACTGCACTGAACAGGCCCCGAAAGCCAAAAAAGTGCTGTCTGCTGTTAGTTTAATTTTTGTCATTTCTATTGATTTATTTCATTTATCAATGTTTCTTTGAGTTATAATTCATTGACCTCTTTCAATAGTGCAGGTTCGCTCATGTAACCTAATCCCACATGTATGTATGTACAATCTCATTTGAAATTTTGAGTGGCAGGCAAGCTGGCAAAAGTAATAGGCAGCAGAGGCCAAATCTTGTCCTGAATAGAAGTCTGACATGTGTGAAATTGGCAGCTATTTCATTGTAGGTGGCCAAATTGTTGGCTGCAGCTCATTTTGACCTGGCTGATTGTGTGTGTTATGTATGTGTTCTTCTTTTTAGGTGTTAAACAGGTCAAAGTACCAAAAAAAACCTCTGTGATAACTTGGTAGTCTAAGATGTAAAAATTTTTAATAATAAGGTAAAGCTTGATCATTCTTAAGAGTTTGCATCTGTTCTAAAAGTTTTGGGGAGAGTTAGGGGAGCATTATTTATACAAATGTATTTATAAAGTAACAAAAAAATAAAAAGAACTAGGGAAAAATCCCAATTTGCTTTAAAAGTTTATTTTATGAAGAGCATAATTCTGGATATAGCTTGGGATTTGTGTGATTTTCACAAATTGTTAGGTTGTTATGTAAACTTAATTTACAGGAACCTTGTTAATTTTCAGCTTCAAGAACAAGTACATAATTGCAGGAAAAGCTTGAAGCTTGAAAAATTGACTGATGAAACTGGAACAGATGTCATGAGATTTGTACAATAGGTTGGCCTGGGAGGGACCAAGAATTAAAGAATTCATTGATTCTCTTACACCTTTTGTCTGCATAGTGTGCTTCTGTAGAGCTTAGTTATTGCTGTAGAAAACTTTTTTGGAGGGCCCCTGAGATCACTCACTTTTGAGCTAGTTGCCCCTAGGGAAGAGGATATCTGTACTTATTATCTCCCTTGTGGGGAGGGGGGGGGGGTGAAGGGTTGAAGACTGATTCTTCTCCAGTAGCCACAAGTACCCCTCCATATGGAAATTTTGAACACTATTAAAGGGCTAGTACCCTCATTTCATACTTGAATTTCTAATTTAGTGTAAGTTATGACAAATGATGAATGTAAATTCATCTTGGTTGTACAAGTTATATCCAGCAGTCCTTAAAAAAAATAAAAAACACGTTTTTGTTCCTTTTGCAAAAATTAGCTTATTTCACGACCAAAAACGATGCAAACAAGCTTTAACGTTATGTTTTCAGCAAAACAGCGATAGAATCTGCGAAAAAACAATGGAGACAAGCTAACACACAGTGTTCTCAGTAAAATTTGGGCAAAAAAACCTTAAAAACCAAAAAAAAAAAATTGCACTGACTTACCCATTTTTTGCCAAGATAACTGCCAAAACACTGAAAACTAGCTTGAAACTACATGTTTTTCACAAGATCGCGACGAAATCTGTCTAAAAACTCCAAAATACGGCAGAAGTGTACGATTTTTGCAAAATTTTTCGCTAAAGTTGACAAAAACACTCAATTCGACTGAAAAACACGTTTGTTTTTTTTTTGCAAAAATAAGCTTATTTCAGTTTTAAAAACGCTGCAAAAAAGCTAAAACACAATGTTCTCAGCAAAATAGTGCAAGAGTCTGTGGGAAAACACAAAAACTAAGCTTAAACCCAGTGTAAATTGATAAAAAGGCCGGAATTGCGCATTTTGGCAGTTATTTTGGCAAAAAATGGTATATTTTGATTTCAAGCAAACTTTCAAGTAGTTGTTAAAGTTTAGAGCCAAACACAATACCAAAAAAAAAATTGGATGTTTTCAGAAAAAATTGTAACCCTCAGCCTAATCATAATCCCACCCTACCCAAGCCCTAACTCTAACTCTAGCTGCGAGCTATCCTAATCCGAACCCTAGCCCCGGGTTAGGGTTTGGGTTAGGGTTTGGGTTAGGGTTAGGGTTAGGGTTTCCAACCAGTTGAAATGGTCTAACTGGATAATGCATGTGTAACCAGTAAAATTGGTTCAAATAATTCAAGTAATCAACCTGGTAAGGATGGTAACATTAGTTAAAAAGATCCACCATATTACAGTGGTTCAACTGGTAAAAATAATCATCCAACTACTAAAAGTTATTAAACACCAATCAAAATTAATCCAAACGCTTCAAATAATCAAACTGGTCAAAACTCTTCAAGTGGTTATTTAAGTGAAAAAGGTGACAAAATCTTTTTCAAAATATTTTTTAAGAGGCTTACACCCTTACCCTAAACACTAACCCTACCCCCAAACCCTAACCCCAAACCTTTACCCTAGCCCTAACCTCAACCGCAGACCCTCTAACCCTAACACTAAGCCCAAACCCTAACCCTAACCCTAATCCCAAACCCTAGCCCCACACCATAACCCTGAAAACTAACCCTAAACCCTAAACCCTAAACCCTAACCTATAGCCCTTAACCTATACCTAACCCTAACCCTAACCCTAACCCTAACCCTAACCCCAACCTTCTCTATCTATCCTGTAAGTGTACCAGTCGGCCTATCGTTTGTTTTTCAGTAAACTTTCAAGTAGTTACTGAAATTTACAAACACAATACCAAAAACCCTGCAATTGAGTGCTTGTAGAAAAATATTAACGCCAACCCGTACCCTCAGCATAGCCTCACCCTAGCCTTAACCCTAATTCTAACACTAAACCCCGCTATAACTAAACATAATTTTACCCTAGCCCTAACCCTGATTGTAACACTAAACCCCTCTGACCCGAAGCAACCCAAACTCTAACCCTAACCAGGTAATGGGCTCCTGCCTTAACCCTATCCTCAACCCTGACTTAAACCCTTTACCATAGCTTAGGATTGGTTTGGGGTTTGGGTTAGGTTTAGGATAGCACAGAGTTAGAGTGAGCACAGGACGAAATAGCATGATTCCGTAATTCGGAAAAATGAAACTCTATGTTTCCACGTCATTCACTTCTTCCTTGGACCTGTTATGTTTCCGTTATGATTCCTGAACAGAAATATGACGACACGTTTCCGTTGCATTTCTGTCAACGGAATATTATCGTAGCCTGTTTCCGTTACGTTTCCTTGTACGGATTCAAACTTTTACCGTCAAGTAAAACATATATATATATATATATATATATATATATATATATATATATATATATATATATATATATAAAGTGCCGTACAGTTCTTACACCACGTTACCATGAAGACGTGATCGTTCGAGGACAACAAAGGCAAATTGACGTGCATTAGGTGTGTACGTTCGTAGGAATCATAAGAAGTCCTAGAAGCTTCGATGTTTTACACTGAGCTATGTGCATGTTAATTTTGGAACTATTTCGAAACCTTACAAAATTGAATCTTTTAAACTTACTCTGTGCTTAGATTTTTAAGCAGCTGGATCATTTGAGCCAGTTTAGTCTCTCAAACCAGCAATACAATACTTGGCTAACTGGATAGTTTTAGGGTTAGGGTTAGGATTTCCAAGTAGGCACACGCAGTTGTGTGGATGTTGTGGTACATGGAGTTTAGTAGAGTGTAGATTTTAGCAGTATTTGCCAGTGTTGACATATTTATAAAATTATGGTTCCAAAGTGCGTGTCACTGTTGAGAACCCAAGAAAATCATGAGAAAGTCGCCGATGGATTAGCCATAAAAATAAGCCCAACTCTGAGTCAATGCCAAACCACAAGAAAGTTGTGAAACTCGTGCCAATGTCAAAAAAAAAAAAAAAAACTGAGGTTCGAAGTATGGGTCGATGCTGACATCCTATGGAAATCATGCGAAAGTCGAGGAGATTGGTCATGGTACCAACCAATGCCACTTTCCCATGAAAATCAAGAAAGCTGTGGAAACTAGCCAACATATGCTAGAATGACAATCTTCAATAAAATTCATATCTAATAAGGATGTGTGAAATGGCCAATATCGCTCTTGGCTGAGATACTGGTTTGCCGTGTTTTGGCAGTTATTTTGGCGAATACGGTTAAAATCAAATCTGTGTAAAAACAA